TGTCAGCAGGAGAGGGGTTGGAGGACGGTTGGGAAGGAGACGTTGTAACCGTTCGGGTGACGGTTTTCGGTGCGGTTTCCCAGAGAATATTTAAAGGTTTGAATCATCATTTGGCAAGGTATCTTCAATCAACTTCAACAAAGCAAAGTCAGATTTGGGGATCACCACTTTAAATTTCAGTCTTTTATTTTCCAGTTTATTTTCTGTACCATACAGTGTTTAGAGATTCCTAATCTCAGGCACTAATTAATCAAGTTTAAGGATATTTTCTATATCTTTGAATTTTACTTTATTTTTGTTGAAAAATTACATCAACAATAGTATATATGATAAACCGTTTATTGGATTACTAATATCAATTAGTGAATTGTGTAATCCATAGATTTGGTTAGACTTAGTCGTTGATTGAAAAATCGATTGATAAATTATGTAAGTCTTGAATTTAGCTAGATTTGATTGTTGATTGGCAAGTCGATTGATGAATTGGGTATGAAATGGATTTGGATAGATATACTTGTTGATTGACAAATAGATTGATAAATTGTATAAGACGTGAATTTGGCTAGACTTAGCCGTTGTTGGCAAGTCGATTGATAAATTGTGTAGAATTTGGCTAGACTTAGCCGTTGTTGGCAGGTCGATTGATAAATTATGTAGAATTTGGCTAGACTTAGCCATTAATTGATAAGTCAATTAGTGGATTATGTAAGCTATGAATTCAGCTAGCCTTTAGCTGTTGATTGGAAAGTTATTTAATAATTGTGTGAGCGTTGATTTAGCTAGACTTAGCCATTGCTTGGAAAGTCAATTGATCAATTGAGTGAGCTGCAGATTTTGGATGGTTGTAGTCTTTGTTTGGATAAGGTTTATTGTTAGTTATTTATTCCATGCATTAGATGTATATTTCTTTACTCAGCCTTTGCTTATGTTACTACTTTCTTCCATGAAAGTTGAATTTTAGACCTTTATCGATTTGATGCATCATAAGGATGGAATTTCGTCATGCATGCATTACTTTATTCAATTGCATATTTTAATGTAATTGTGGATGTCAGTAGAAATATTTGATGGTTTCTGCAAATAAAAATGATTGTGCTTATATTTATTATGATTTATCCTTGATATTGAGACACTACATGTTCATATGTATTGTTGTTTCCGTGTCGGTGTGTGACAATCCCTTAAAAAAATTTTGGGTGTTACATTCTCTATCTTTCACTACTCAATACACCAAAAAATCCCCAATGTGAGAAAAAAAAAATGAAATATCATGACTCGATGAAAGAAGAATAAATTCTATATAGGTTAGGCAGATCCATCTTTAAACATTTTATTGAACAATATGTTGTTTCTACTAACTGTCCAGTAAGAGACTATGTTTCTGGTTCGATTCTCACTATTTGGTCTAGTTTGGCCATGACACCCATCCGAATTTTAAAGCGGCCCCATTTCTTTCATTCATCGGTGAATTTTCTAAATTTTTTAGTGACACAACACTCACTTAGTGACCATTGAAGCAATAATTTTGCCACCCGCCATATTCTATCACCATTTGTTGATAGGAGTTGGTCAAGGTTGGTAGTCCTCTACAGTGACACACATATTTTTATAGGCAGGTTGTCTCATTGAACCTAATTCTTGGGATCTTCAATCTTTCTAGGTTAGATTTTTATTATAAAACTTATATTTTAGCAGGCTTAAATTTCTAGTCAATTTGTAAATTACACCACGGTTTAACATTTGGTTAGCGGATCCGATAGGTTATCTTTTGATGCAAGATGATCAATGTCAATAATATTTTTATGATAAGTTGTCTTACGGAATTGTGTATGCAATGAATGTGTCAATTCTTTCAATTGTACATCGCGCTCTTGGCTTTACCAATAATGTATTTACTGTTACGGTAGAGGGTAATGGTATAAACAGATTTACTCCATTCTAAAATGTCCTCAAGAGAGTGGTGAATCTATTACGTTTCTTCTACTTTATCCAAATGAATGAACTCATATTTTATTATTGATTTGACAATCACTACTTGTTTAGAGGACTTTCCGAAGATTGTTGCATTAGTTAGTGTGAACACATATTCAGTACTTGATCTCAAATTAAATATATCAGATATCCAGTTTGCATCTGAGTAGCACTCTACTACACTTGGATATCTTTTATAGTGCAACCCATAATCTTGAGTAAACGTAAGTATCTAAGTACACAAACAATGGTTTTTAATATTTGTGACTTGAATTACCCGTATACATACTCAATTTTCATATAGCATAAGCAATATCGGGTCTGGTATAAGTCATCAGGTACATCAAGCTTCAAATTATTTGAGCGTACTCAATTTATGATACATGTTTTCCACAGTACTTTGATAAGTGAATATTTGTGTCCAATGAGATTTTTCCTATTCCCATGTCATCTTTGCTAAATTTGTCAAGGATTTTATCTACAAATATAAGTTTGACTCAAAATCTGACCATCTTTGATTCTTTTATCTTAATTCCTAAGGCCACATTAGCAAGATCCATGTATTTCATATCGAATTTGGAGTTCAACATGTCTTTAGTGGACTTGACAATTTTGACATTTTGACGTAAATACATACACTTATTGTATTCATTAATTTTGAAACTACTGTCCATCATAGTATGATTGAATTTCTCATATCATTTATTTAGACCTTGTTTGAGTTATATAGTGATTTTACAAGTCTACAATTTTTTTATTTATTATTTTTCTATAAAATTGAAGTCTTTTAGCTATTCTATGCATATTTCTTACCAAAGTCTCTATTTAAGAAAGACGTTTTCACATGCATTTAATGTACTTTAAAATTTCATATAGCAACTATCTCCAAGATCATTATAATGGAGGTTATTCGTGTAATTGCATAATATGTGCTCAAAGTAATTTAGCATTTTTTGTTGTTTGTAATATTTGGTTACAAGTTTATCGTTGTATTTTTCTATTTTGTCATTCGATTTCAATTTCCTTTTAAAGATCCATTTTTATCAAATGGGTTATGAGCTTGGTGAGAGATCCACAATTTTCCAAATGTGATTCTAAATAATATAAATCAATATCACTGTTTATGTATCTTTTTCATAAAGGCGCTTCAAAAGACCTCCTTGTTGTAGCATATATTTGAGGCTCATTTTCAAGAAGAAAGCTAAAGTAGTCATCTCCATATGATTTTTCAACTTATGTTTGCTTGTTTTTTCTAACCTCAGGTTCTTGTTTGGTTCAGAATCAGATTCATTACTTTTCCTTCAATCTTGAACTATTATTTAGTGTTCTTAATTGGCCTAATTAAACTCCGGCGCCTGTCTTTGCATGGAACATATTTTCAAATGATGTTGTATTTTTTTTTTTTTTATTATCATATTCTTTTGGATGCCTTTTCGGCTTCGCGGGATGAGTCTCAAAATTTTTTAATTGAATACTAGAAAATGATAAGGAGTATTGTTATATGCATATCCAATCAAAATATAGTCAACTGGCTTAAAATCAATTCTACATATTTGGGATGTAGTACTACTACTTTAGTAAGCACCCCACACTCAAAAGTGTTGGTAAGATGGTTTTTACCTTTCCAAAACTCATAAGAGGTCTTGTCCACCTTTTTTCAAAAAATTAACTTGAGTAGTTCATACTCAAAATTATTTCTCCTCACATGTTTTAGGATACTTTACAACTTAACATCATCGCATTCATCATTTCCTTTAAAATGAGATTTTTGAATTCATCAATGTTGTTTGATTGAGGTGAGTAGGGTAGAGTTACTTTATGAATTGTTCTATTTTGCACACAAAATTCACTAATTAAAGCTTCATATTTTTAACCTTTATCACTTCTAATCCGTTTACTTCATTTGTTAAGTTGATTTTTTACTTCATCTTTGTAAAAAATAAATTTACTTATTGTCTTGTCCTTGTCATTAAATAAATACACATAATAGAATTTGTACAATCATTAATAAATGTACTAAATTATTTATTACCATCATATGTTTGTACAATTTTAAAATTACATACTCCCTCCGTCCCATAAATATAGTCTTAATTGGGTTGAGTACGAGATTTAAGGAATATTGATATTATATCGGTAGTTGGTAAAAAGTATGGATAAAAAACTTTTTTGCCCTTGTGAGTATATTAGGGTAAAAACTAGTGGAAATTGTGTAATAAAAATAAAAAAGTAGGGGTAGTTTTATGGTGATATGGTTATTTATGGAAACAAGACTATTTTGTTTTGGGACGGAAAAAAATGGTAAACAAGACTATTGTATTGGGACGGAGGGAGTACATCGCTATTAATCAATTTGAGCGGTTCAATGTCACATTGAATTGTTTGGAATGATGATCGAGATTGTTTCTCTTCAACACAACTGTAATATTTATTTTTTGTTGAATAGAAATGTTGGAATGTTGTTCAGGTTAATTAATTAACACATTGAATCATAATTTACATGATCCAAATGATTATTCCATAAAGTTCAAAACTCAACAATATAAAACATGATATTATTATTATTATTATTATTATTATTATTATTATTATTATTATTATTATTATATTCAATCACAGTCATAATACAAAATTTTAAAAGTTCACCCACACTTACCTATTTCCCACATACACTCTCGATTTTTACAAAATAAAGCTATCTCATTTCGTATTGATTCTAAACCCATATTTCATCAAAAGTATCCCAAAAACCTGGTTCTTTATCATTGCCAACATGTAACATATGTTGGTCAATATCACAACCCTTCAGAAGCAATCTTTAGAAGAAAATTCCTTCTTTCTTTAACATATGCCAAAGCAATATTTTTTATACACATTATTTCTCTTTCAACATTTTCGAACATAGAGATTGGTTCCTATCTATGCAGATTTGGCATATTGCTCCTTTGTTGAGCCACAAATATTTCTTGATTGATCCAACCACTCTAAATTTAATATTGTTAGATAGAACAACATTTTCTACTCTCATTTCTTAAAATTTTGACCATTTATTTTTTATGGTTTATCAGCCGACGTAGCAACTCATCTAGATGTTCTCCAATGAATGCAACGAGATCCTTTACAAGCCCTACTACTACACACTACGGACGAGGTAGAACAATAGCTAGTTGTCGCATGTTCGCATCACTAGGATTCCGTTTATTGTGTCCAGTAATAGGTTGCTCGAAGCTCGCAGCAACAGGCTATGCCTTATCCAGTGTGGCCATGAAGGCCTTTTCATATGTTGTTTTCACAGCCTTTTCTGCAGCAGCCCGTTTGGCCGCTTCATGTTTAGAAGCAACGCGTCCAAAAACCTTGGTGGTAGTACGGGGTGGCTGAGATTGGGAAACATACAAAGCCAAAACATGAGATTCGCTAGAATTGACCTTCTCATTCTCCTCTATGTCTGCAATAATCTCAACATCATCCACTACAGAAAAAATTGAAAATTACTACGGAAAAATTCTGTAACAACAGACAAAATTTCCGTCACAACTTACAATTACAACGAAATTTGCATCTAATTGGAGGCGGTAGTAAATATTATTGTAGTAATACAATGTGACAATCAAGATTTTCTGTTGTAAAAAATTGTCACATAATTAGTGACCTTTTATTTCCATTGCAATTTTTTGCCACGGAGTTTTACTATCACAAAAAATACTATTTACGTAGTGCATTGCAAGAAAAATGATACGTTGTTGATTCCTTTGCAATTTTTTGCAATGCAATTTTCAATGGAATATGTAAATATATTGTACAATCCGTCGCAGAGTTTCAATGGAATATATATTTTGCAATATATTGCAAAGTTAACAAATTGCGAGAGAATATAACCATCGGTAATTCCGTCACAAATTTTGTAGTGCCTATTTAATTTATTTATTTCTTTTGCTCATTTTTGCCAATTTTTTTGAAAATCAATATAAAAAAATATTAATTTAATTCTATACAATCAACCCAATTTAATGATTAAATTAATATCTCACATAAAATATACAAAAACTAACTAAAATCATATCTAAATTTCAAACAAAACCGGAGTCTAATAGACCAAATACAAACAAAATATATTTAGTATAAGTACCTCAAGTAGCAAATAAATGTATGAATCTACTTTTAGTTACCAAAATATCAAACAAAAATAACTAAAATCGTAACTAAAAATACATATAATAATAAATCATCCATCAAATCCCAGCATGACGACATATTGTGAAGCAATCTACCCGGTTCCGAAGTTCAATTCACTACAAAAAAATAATATATTTGTAACGGAATTTCTTCCCTAAAGTTCATGTAGCTAACGTAATTTCATTCCTAATTCCGTCTCTGATGTCATTAGTAACGGAAAAAGTAGATTTAGAGACAAAAAAGTTTTGTTACAAAAATAATTTTTTCTTGTAGTGATTATTTCTTTGTTGTTCTCAAGTCCTTTCATAAACTCTTCTGGTTGTTTCCCATTTTCTTTCTATATAGAACTAGCGAACCGCTTGAATAAGAAATTCAACTCTCGTTTCAAAATAAGCTTTCAAACGACCTCTTGAAATCATTGCAGATGTACCTGGAGCACAATTATTTAAAAAAAAAAAAACAAACTATAATAGCCACACATGAGTAATAAGTAAATAAGCTATGCCAAGTTCATATTCAAGAGATAGTAAACTTACCAATCTTTACGCCTCTAGGTGTTATGTTGTCATTGTCATACAAAACAATAACTTTATTGACGGTAACTTGAAACAAGCCAAGAGGTCATTTATATAAAACCTCAAATATTGATACAAATATAATTCACATTTTTATAATTAAGAAGTCAAGTTGTTATTATGCTATATTGGATTCAAAGACATAAGAAAATTACATTATGATAACACTAGCAATAGGTATCCCATGTCAATATTCAGCCACCAAGGAGTCCCTGATTTGATGCATTCTTTCTTGCATTCAAAACATTCTTTTCATCATAGAAGTCTACATAACTAACATGGCAAACGCAAGAACTTGCACAAACAACAACTAATTTGGATTGGATAAGCTAGTTAGCTAGCTAGCTCTCAACCAAAGGTATACATAACATACATACATACCTATACTCATGAATGCAGATGTAAGGAGTTTGTCCTTTTATGGTCCAAAAGCTGAGCAAGGAGTAACATAATAACATATGTAGCAAAGATCAAGAATGTTCTCTAATGAATTATAGTGCATCAGATTATAGAGTTGATCATAATGTATTTACCTAAACAGACAGATAAGAATATGAATCAAATTTTCAGCAGTCTCTCATCAGTTTTCAGGATTCAAGTTCAACCTCTTGGCATCTATCAGTTGGTAAAGATTGCCCTACCTTTGTGGTTCTAGATGGTGAGAACCAAACAAATCTTTGTAAAATCGCACAAAAAAAATGGATATAAGACAAAGGATGCTTATTATGTTTCACCTCCTGAGATCAAGCTGAGAATAGTTTATTTCTGAGATGATTATTGTGTCCTCATTTTACCTAATTATCCACAGCCCTACCCGGAAACTAGATAACGAACCAGATCATCAATTTGAAAAAAATTCAAGACAACAAAATATCTTAGAAAGTATTCAACGGTTGCTTATATACCTTTCTCTTTGCAATAGTTCCCAATGCAAAGACCCAGTAGTCATATTGAAAGAAAACTCCACATAATCATTTAGCCGTGCGCAGAGCATAAATAGTGGTGGATGTACTATGTAGATTCCTATATTATAAAAAAGTAACAGAAAGAAAAGGTCAATTTATTTTGGTTTTGGCAACATACCGTACCGTCCTCCAAAAGAGCAAGGGCGGTGGCCAAAAGCAAGTACCATGAGTATACTCCAATCTCCATTGTTTTCTTAGTGTTAATCAGCTTCAGAAGCATGTTAAGAAACTGCCCCTCATCCGAAAATGTAGTAATGATATTCCTATTTAAATTCAACCCAATATTCAGATCTACTTCATTTCATTGACAATTTTAATGGAACAATTTGATTGCGACTCACAATGGATGCTTGGCAGTAATTTCTCTGAGCTCTTCATTAACAATTTTAATGAAAAAATTTGATTGCGACTCACCATGATGCTTGGTGGTAATTTCTCTGAGTTCTTTCATCGCCTCTGGCTCTTTTGGATAAACGTTGGTTTCCAGAATATACTGTTTGGCGAAAGTAACGAATCACATCAAATCAAATCATAAAAGGTAAGATAACAGCAGTAAAAGTGACTAATTCGATAAGATATTCAATACAATTTCGCATCATTCTACATTCATCATCTATTAAAATGACGAAATGAGATTCTCCAAAAAACAGAAGGAAGTTTCATAAGCATAATCTGGATTCGATCGATTGAACAAACTTAACCGAAAAACAATATGGAAGGAGATTGAATCAACCTCTAAAAATGCCGCAACCAACTATATTTGTCTTCAAAATACCAAATAGACACACTCGATCGAAAAATATTAACCTAACAAAATGGCAAAGCGAAAAACACCAAAAGGCACAATCCTAGGCTATAACTAGTAAAGAACATCACTTTGCAGAAGGCTTTTGTGCCCAACCTCCTGATGCCTGGCTGCTTGATCATCCTTCGACTCGCCATTTTGTCCCATCTTGAAAGTAGATTTTGGGATTTTGGGATTAAATAACAAGGGTGCTAGAGATTAATTTGTGCAGATTATGTTGAAGAATTACGGTGAACACATAGGTGGCTCCAGTAATTTTGTTTAATTTATGGGCAAAATAATTTTTATTATATGTTATTAAATTTTTAATAAAAATAAATATTTATTAATGATTTATTTAAAATTTTATAGTAAATTTTTATTATAAAATTACATTTAGTGCAAATTAAATTAAGTTATTATATAAGACATTAATATTTGCATAATTACTTTCCAATTTAAATTAAATATAATTATTTATTAAATTTATTAGTTTAATTATTTTTATATTATCATAATGTAATCAAGAATTATTATTTATATAATTTTTATATAATAAATAACTCATAATATGTATTTAAATTATATTATTTTTTACTAAAATGAAAATTTAGAAAAAATAAAAATATTAAAAACGAATAAATATAGATTAATATTTTAAATTGGAACCGGTGGTTCTTAACCAAAATAGTCGATTTCAAAACTTTAACTGAAATCGTCAAACCGAAATCGAAATTGTGATTCAAAATATTCGATTTCGATTTGATATTTTGATAAATCAAAATCGACAGTTTCAAACTATAATGGCGGTTCAAACCGTTGGGCAAATCTATATTAAATTATAAGGGGCTGTGAGAGATTAATTTGTGACATATTCTTTTGCACAATTGTGACGGATTTAATAGGTTGTTATTTCTGTCACAATTTTGCAACAGAATGTAAGATTCTTTATAAATTTTTTGGAATTCTACAATGGATTTATTTGTTGCTATTTTCGTCATAATTTTGCAACGGAATATAATATTTGTCCCATAATTTGTGGAAAATTTGCAACGCGATTAATATATTGCTATTTTCATCGCAATTTTGCAACGGAATGCAATATTCTTTATATAATTCCTAAATTTCTATGACATATATATTCTATTGCACATTCTCTCACAATATACTACAATTGCGACCATCTCCTGTTTGTTTAGCAAATTCTGTTGCAATTCTACAATAAATTATATTCCGTGGCAATTTGAAATTTTTTTTGTAGTGATCATTTGCGTTTTTGTCAACCCCATTATGCATAGCCTTAATCATAGCAGCGAATTTAGACATGATTTGGTTGGCACCCTCATTTCGGTTATGGATCTCAGAAACTTTATCTCCGTTTCTTGATATCACTCGAATTCGCTTTATAATCATTAGAAATAAAACGACAATAATTGAGATATCATAAAATCAAATCACAAGATTTGAGCTGCGAGTTGCACATGAACTTATAAAGTGAATTTGGTCTGCGACTGATCATCTTCTATGATAGACCGAATGGATCGGAATAACAAACTGCACAATAAATCGAACGTTAGGAAACAAAAATTTGTAAAGAATCTGATTAAAATAAAACCAAAGAACAAAAATAGAAAAAAAAAAAACCTTAATCATTGTACATATAATTTTATAGAAAATATTTTTTTATATAATAAAAATAAAAATTATTAATCTATAACTAATACAAATTAACTTAAAATATATTAAAATATAATTAGTGTATATATTATTATATTTATATAATATTTATAATATAAACATATACTATTAATATTGTTAATGACTAAGTGGAATGTATGAAGGATGCTGGTATCTTTGGGCGTCTGGAACTATGGTCAACAGTAAAGATATATCCAAATATGTGTTGTATAAATGAAGTGTAAGTATTTTTAAATATAATATATTCAGGGTGTGTTTATTTTGTATGATTAGAGAGGATATGATTCCAATATGGTCATGAATTTATAATTTATGATTCCTGAATTAATTATAGCCATAGGATGTGTTCTATAGATAAACAGTTAAGATCATTTGAAGGGGTTAATTAGTAAATTAGATTATATAATAAATAAGGCAAGTATAAATTCATACTTAAATTAAGGAGAGAGATATTATTTTTTTTTTATTACTGTGAAATCACTTATACATTCTCACACCATAAAAAATAAAATAAATAAAATTATACGCTCTCCACCAAAGTTGATGACCGGTCGCACGGTCAATCAAATAATTTACATATTCTGTAATCACAATTTAATGTAATGCATGGGAAAGAATCGTCTCCACAGGGATTGTGTATTCTTATATAATGAAGATAAAATAACAAAACAATTAAATTAACGGAGAATTAGCTGAATTAGCTATTGAGGGGATGTCTGGCTCAAAGTATGATGCATGACACTTGACTTTTATCATTGATTCAATAAAGTTAGTTCTTATTAAAGTATCAATAAATTGGTTATAATTATCACAAACTCTGACAACCATTTTTTCCATACAGTGTAAGTAATTAAGGTATGACTGTTAACTACCCCTAATTAAACTAACAAACCTAGGTGCGCTTATAAGAAATATTGTCTAATCGCATTCTTATATAGAAAAACCCAATTCTAAACAATTATTACCTAAGAGGAGCAATTGGATTTGATCATCTAACCCTCGGGAAAGAACTATTCAACCCGGTTGTCACATATTCAAGTGCGAATACAATTACAGATATCCTACCTGAATTTACTCTAGATTATCAAACTAATATAAATATCAGTACCAAAATATCTAATCAATCTAACATTCGGCTCCAAGAGTCTCATTTATTTTTTTGCATGTTCGTTATCAATATTAATTATTATATCAAAATATAATATAAATTAAGAAAAAATTACAAAAATACTTCAATTAGTGTCTTATAATATTAATAGAATGACATTTGTAAAAAACATTATACAAAAATATAAGAATATTTTTAATGTTAATTACAATAGACGAGAGAGGGAATATAATTTAATGTAGCACGGTAATGTTTTGAATAATAAATAATTTAAATAAAAAATAAATATTAATAGGAGTTTTTTTTTGAAATATTGATTAATGATAAGAAAATAAGTTTGAAAATATAAACGTACACATCCACTAAATGTTACTCCCTCCATCCCACATAATTTGTCCCTATTTTCTATTTTTGTTTGTTCCATATAATTTGTCCATTCATTTTTGGAAATATAATTATACACTTTAATCTCATTTTAAATTTTAAATTTTATAATTTTTTTAATCTTAATTAAACTATTTAGTTATCTAAATCTTAATCCACAATTATTTTTATTATACGATAATTATTTTTACTAATATATTTCTTAATTACTTACTAATCACAATTTACTACGGTAATAGGCCCATAATACATGGGACGGAGGGAGTATTAAGAAAATATAAATCAGGAGGAGTATTTAAAAATATATTGATCAAAAAATATAAACATATACATCCATAAAACATACACATTTCAATAAATATTAATTAATAATAAAAAAATATTTTTCTCTCTATTTCAGAATTATAATTTTATTTGAAGAAATAATTATATTAGTATTAATAGTTGATAAAAAATACGAGTAAAAGATATAATGATATTTATGTAATAATAATAAAAAAATATGAATAATTTTACGATAATAAATATATTTATGAAAATAAAATTATTATTTTTAAAAAAAATAAATTTATAAAATTATTGTCCTATGGAGTATTATTTTTTATTGCAAGTAAGCATACAATGACTGAGACAGTGATACAGTGGTGGAGACTGACTCATTCCGTCATCCGACCAGCTCCAGGCCAGCTGGCTTTACTCCCTGAAACTCAAACGTGATCCCAACCCAGCCCAAATCAACCTAACCAGGGACGCACCCACAAAAACAAACAATATAAACACGCGTATAAATATAAATATAAATATAAATATATAAATAATTATTTTTAATTCGTGGATTTTCATACGCACAGCTCCAACACATATACCAGTATTCATTAAAAAGACCTCTCCTTTGTCTCCTTCTCCCTCTGCTCTTTCTGTGTTCTTTCTGCCTGCTAATGTCTTGCAACAATATCAAGATCCCGTTTGTGTTTCTTCCAGTCTCTCTTCCGAAATTTCTCCGATTCCGTCTCTGTCCTTGTGCATCTGCCATGTTATGCGTACGTATTCGTTCCTCTTCTTCTTTGCCGAATTTTGTTTCTCGATATTGTTGAGAGTGCCTTTACTTGATGATGTATTGTGATGTTTCTTTTTTATATTTATGGTTGCAATTCCTGCTCTTTGATCTGGATCTGATCTGATTATGAATTTTGTAGCTGCCTCTGTTTTCTCTGTGGTTATTACTATGTACTTTTGCCTTTCTCTGTCAGCTTTTCCCTAATTATCTGAGCTTGTTTTCCCTTATGCTCTTCGGTGGCATGGAGGGCTCGCAGAACTGGGATTTGAACGAAATTGTTCATCATTCGCATGTTATTTATTTATGTTAACTCTAGCAAAGGCAACTTTCTCTCATCATGCCAGTTTGGAACTAACGGTATAAATATTCTTTCCATTTTCGTAATTAATTTCAGAATCGTCTGTATTGATGTGAAGAATAATTGGATGCGGAAAGTGCTTTAGATAATTTGTGGTGAGAGTTGAAAGAAGGGGGGATTGAAGTTGTTTCATGGGCAATACATGCCGTGGATCATTCAGAGGCAAAGCATTCCAGGGCTTCAACGAGCCCGAAGACAAGTCCAACTCCAAGCACAAAACTTCTTCAGCTGCCGGCTCTAACTCTACTGACTTTTACTCTCCCACCAGTTTGAACCCCGAACAGCTTGCTGCTCAAGAATTCTCGACTGACACTCAGCCAGATCATAAGAAGGATTCACAGTTGCCGCCCTTAATCAGCCCCAAGAAAGACAGCATCATGAACCGTGGCTCAACTAACCAAGCAAACTTTGTCTTGGGCCACAAGACTGCAAACATTCGAGAGCTTTACACTCTTGGTCGTAAATTAGGACAGGGCCAGTTTGGCACTACTTACCTGTGCACTGAATTGTCCACTGGAAATGAATATGCTTGTAAGTCTATATCAAAGAGGAAGCTAATTTCGAAAGAGGATGTTGAGGATGTTAGGAGAGAGATTCAGATAATGCATCACTTGGCTGGTCACAAGAATATAGTCACCATTAAAGGTGCTTATGAGGATTCCTTGTATGTTCACATTGTGATGGAGCTTTGTTCTGGCGGTGAATTGTTCGATCGGATTATACAGAGGGGACACTACAGCGAGCGTAAAGCAGCCGAGCTGACTAAGATCATTGTCGGAGTAGTTGAGGCTTGCCATTCGCTAGGTGTTATGCATAGAGATCTTAAACCAGAAAATTTCTTGTTAGTAAACAAGGATGATGATTTTTCACTTAAAGCTATTGATTTTGGACTCTCTGTTTTCTTCAAGCCAGGTACATTTAAATTTAAATAATTTATGGCTTTATCCTTAGTAATATCAACAGTGTCAACATTAAGAGTACCCCGTAACATGCTATAGGTTTTCGTTTAAATTGGTACATGATTTTCTTTATCAGGTCAGATTTTCACAGATGTGGTTGGAAGCCCATATTATGTTGCACCAGAGGTTCTTTTGAAGCATTATGGCCCAGAAGCAGATGTGTGGACAGCAGGGGTGATACTCTACATACTGCTAAGTGGTGTCCCACCATTTTGGGCTGGTATGTTCATTTTCTGTGCAAGTGTGTGGATTCTTTTCCAGCTCCTCACACTGATGATTTCCCCTCTGCTCAGAAACTCAGCAAGGCATATTTGATGCTGTTCTGAAAGGACACATTGACTTTGATTCTGACCCATGGCCGCTGATATCTGAAAGTGCTAAGGACCTTATTCGGAAGATGCTGTGCATGCAGCCTTCCAAGCGATTGACTGCTCATGAAGTATTAAGTGTGTTCTGCTTCCTACCATTTACAGTGACTGCTTTTATCATGGGATTTTGCACTGTTGATATATCTTAAATATCTCTTGATGATATAGTAATGTCTGCATTATTTAAATCTGGATCATGTTTTCTCTAAAGAGAAAAAGAAGAAAATGAAAATATTTTTAATGCTCTTATCAATACCAAGAAAGCTGCTCTGCTTATCAATGTGTAGATGAAAATGGGGTACTTGTTAGCTTGAAAAATTCTGTCAGAATCTTTTTATGATGCTGCCTATTATATCTTTTTATGTGTTTGATTATTTTATGCCGCGACTGTATTCATCTTTTAACCCAAAACCATGTAGGTAATCCTTGGATATGCGAAAATGGTGTTGCGCCTGACAGAGCCCTGGATCCTGCTGTACTTTCTCGTCTTAAACAATTTTCTGCCATGAATAAGTTGAAGAAAATGGCATTAAGGGTATGAATTAAGCTTAAGTTGTGCACATTTTCAAGATTTTGCTTCGGACGATTAATTTTTGGTCATATAGGTCATCAGAACATTCAAATGTTCTTATTCTACAGAGACTTGTGTATATGTGATATTGCTTGCTAAATTTAGGTCATCGCTGAAAGCTTATCAGAAGAGGAGATTGCTGGATTGAGAGAGATGTTTAAGACCATGGACACTGACAATAGTGGAGCAATCACATTTGATGAACTCAAAGCTGGTCTAAGAAAATATGGTTCCACCTTGAAGGACACAGAAATTCGTGATCTTATGGATGCGGTATGGCATATTTTTCTAAACCACTTGTTCATGGTGTTTGCTTTTGTTTAGCATTTCGGTTTTGTTATTTTGTCTAGAATTGGTATATGCAGTTAAAAAGATGGAACCTCAATTTATTGTTTCATCATTAGTAATGTGTGTTTGTACCACCAATTTTGAAACTAATCACATCATATTCGGTCTGTGATAATAATTAGAGATGAGGATGAAACAAATTTGTCTGGTCAATCCTAATGCCTAAGATCTTGCTGCTCAAGTTCATTGGCCACATAACTGATTTAGCGATATCCAGCTTCTTGTAACCTCATGAGCTTTTGTACTGTTATCTTTAATTTTACCCCTATCGTCCCTAATTTTTTCCCATTCATCTGATATGTCTTCTTGTAGTTTATGGGTTTTGATCTCTGTTAATCACTGCTATTATTGCTGCTGATTGTTGGCATGGTTGCAGGCTGATGTCGATAATAGTGGGACCATAGACTATGGAGAATTTATAGCAGCAACAATTCACTTGAATAAACTAGAACGTGAGGAACATCTTTTGGCAGCATTTCAATATTTTGACAAGGATGGCAGTGGCTATATTACCGTTGATGAGCTTCAACAAGCCTGTGTAGAACATGGAATGACAGATGTTTTGCTTGAGGATATTATCAAAGAAGTTGATCAAGATAATGTAAGTCATTCTTCATATTATTGCATCTTATTAAGTTTCCACTGCTTAATAAGTCATTCTGCATATGATGCCTTCTGTTTAAGTTGTCACAGTTAAAATATTGTTGTGGAATATGAATGCTGCAACATAATGTTGCAGCACAGCTACTTGGTTGTGGCAAAACATCAATTAATCTGTCTTTTTAAAGCATGGGTGTGCATCTTTTCAGTGATCTGAAAAAAAATATAAAAAATAAAATAAAATTATAAAACACTGCTCTGAAAGTATTTATGGCATACTTGAGGTTTTGAATGAGATTCAATCATATGCCAGCTGGTAGAGAAAAGTAGCTTACCATCATACAAAAAGCAACCATCTTCAAGGCATTTCATAATGCTTACTCTTTTCACTTTTACAGTATGTATATGATATAAAATGCTGCCCATAGTCTTATGACATGAGCAGATATTTCTAGCATATTGGTTGCAATAATAATAATAATAATAATAATAATAATAATAATAATAATAATAATAAATGAATAAATAAATAAAAAAAAATGAAAAGGTACTAATGCAGTTGTTGGCAACACATGAATGATCTATCAAGTTGTTGAATATACTATGGAAGTTCTGCTGTTGACCTACTAGTTTATCTTCTGAATTTAAGCTCATTCTGTTGATATCTTAGCCATTAATTTTTTCTAAAATAGAAAAATCATTTGGCTAACCTTCCATTGACTTCTTTCTAGGATGGAAGAATTGATTATGGGGAGTTTGTTGCCATGATGACTAAAGGCAATGGTGGCGTTGGAAGGCGAACAATGCGGAACAGCTTGAACATAAGCATGAGAGATGCTCCCGGGGCTCTTTAGATATTTTATATGTAAATGCTACAGGTACCTCTACCTTCCTCATTTTCAACTATAGCTATTTTATCTAGTTTTGGTTCATGTCCTTTATTATGTTAAGGAAACTTTAAGATGCATATAATATTTAATAGAATGTAGTGCTAAATTGCATTAGGCCCTAGTGGTTTAGTAAAACATCATACTCCTCCGTCTCAGTTAATTTGACACTCTTTCTATTTCTTTCCTTCACTCATAATTTGTCCTTTCTTTTTTAATATAATTATATACTTTAATCACATTTTAAAATTCATAATTTATAAATTTTTTATTATAATAAAACTATTTATTCATTTTAATTTTAATCTATAATTATTTTTATTAAATCATAATTAATTTTACTAATATATTTTTTAATTACTTACTAATTAGTCGATACGTAAAAACTTCGTGCCTAACCTAAAGTGGACAATTTAAGTAAGAGGAATGGAGTAATTTTCGCCTCTATAAAACTCTATATGGAACCCTACTTGACTGCAACCAATTTTTCTTTTTTTGACAGTTTACTTTTGAAATTTTTGGAGGTAAAGGGATAGGTCTTGGCTGCAACTTAAAATAAACTATCAAAATATGCAATCTTAGTTGTAGTCGTGAAATATATCCTCTGTTAAATTTCAATGGGTGGGGATTCTGTGTATAGTTCAAATCACAAATGTATCTCAAGCAATTTTTTAATTAAATAGAGAAATACTGATTTTTCACCAAACCGCGGGAGGCCGAATGGAACTTACCTTAGAATGTATATATCTTGTTGAAGTTTGGTGGCCTGACATGTCATTATTTTGGAGATGCAGCAGCTCCAGTTTGTCAAATTTTACTGACCTCTGGACATGCATCCATGAAACATAGTAGCATGCTGGTCATTTTAGACTACATTATACTTTTAATGCTAAATTTAAGAAGAAAAATGCATCTCTAGATCACAGTCAATGGTCCATCGACATCCTCCAGTAGGTTGAAGAGGAAAGTATAATGATTGGGCCGAGAGCCAGAGATTGTGACATGTGAGAAAATTTATTTGTGTGCATTCCTCATTTTATCGTTCAGAATCCTTTATTTTGTAGATTTTAGATCCTCCAAACCCATGATTTCTTAGGTTCTTAAGTTGAATAAAAATTTTTGAGTCCCATGATATTTTTATGTGTACAAATACAGCATAATGGAGATTTGATGCATGAATCCCCCTTATACCAATTGTGTGGAGCAATAACGTTTTCGTATTGGATAACTTACATTTAGTAGCTTTGTTTTAACTCAGCTCGGTTAAATACCTTATTTAGAATTTGTTGCTTAATTTGTCTTAGGTGAACTAGTGTAATAAAATTTATACACATTCTTTTCCTAAAATGAGAATGAATTATGTAATAAAATTTAAAATATTAGTGTCTAATGTGTTTTACCCTTTTTTATTCCATTGAAACTTAAAAGATATGTAAGATAAATATTGCTATATATGATGGTATACGAACTTTGGTCGGCATGCCCCATGCTTATTAGTTCAAACATGTACAAGTCTGATGGGACTGAAATGACTGCAAATTGGATTCAACATAACAATGTGGGACCAAAATTTTAAAAATTGTCTCTAAGGGGACTAAAATTAAAATGACAACTTCACATGGGATTACCCGCATGATTGCTTATATAAAGCTTTATTTCCTGATGATGTTTTCATTTTTACATTCTTATACCATATAATTCATATTGTAGGTCCCCATATGCATTTTTCTCGTTCATGATTGTTTTAAGACATGGTTGGCCATGTGGGTATAGTTGCAGTTTGAAGAGAGTAGCAGCATTAGGATTCGAATGATGCTTGTGCTTCAACATATACTGTGGATAATAATGCATGGAATGGAAGATGCCTATTGCAACATCTTTTGCTCCCCTCCCTCCGACCAAATTGATATTTGTTTTTTAAGTGTTATCAAGAAGTGTGGTTTTTGTGTGTGTGTGTGTAATAAATTTAGGTGATGTATGCGCAGGCAGGAAAGGATGGTAGAGGAGGAGGTTTTGCAGATGCTAATCTGGTTCGAGAGTGTTGAGAAGCTTCCGCCTATTATTAGCAGTGGACGATGGAAACAGAAAAGACTCTTAAGATGGATGATAACTACTGAGTTATTGGAGCTGCTGCTGCTGCTGCTGCTATTGTTGTATTGTTATTATTAATTATTATTATTATTATTACTATGATTATTGTGTATCAGTGTTGTGTTGTGAATTTATTATTGTATTATTGTTGAATGTAACAATGATGTGCTGCAAAATCAAGTGTTTGGATTGGACGTGAATAGTTTTCAATGATAAGTGCAGCTGTATCGCATCACGTTTTTTTTTTTTTTTTGTTTTTTTGTCTTGTGCTTTGATGTCCCATTGCTTTAATTCCCGGTTATTAATCTATATATATAAAAGTACCCAGCAACGCACTAAGAATTGTAGGTGCTTTGTAATGTAAGAAAATTGTGTGTATTGTTGATAATATATGTAATTCATTAATGATTATATATCTTTTATAATGGATATAATTATGTTGAGAGCTTTATATGCATTATTGGAATTGATTCATTCATATTGGGAATATGACTGTGAGATAGAACAAATAAGAATGACTACATAGATACAACAATGATTAATCCAAAGTATTCAAAAATAAGCTGCAACAATTCCGTAACAAAATGACCGCTCTTTACATTAAATTTGATCCCAAAGTTAAAAAAAAAAAGAATTGGATTGACACATTGAGTTTGGATTGAGTTTTCACAATGAGTTTTTGCCGGCAGCGGATTTAGTATTACAACAAATAATTATATTGATCATTTATTTTATTTTTATTAATTGTGTTTACTACATAATTTGAAAGAATTCTTATAATTTACATATTAGTATTACAACAAAATATATCATCATTGTTGAATACTGCTATTTATAATTTTTTTTGCAAACTGATGTTTTTAATAAAATAGTATATTTAATCTAGCTCATATATTTCTTCGCTTTCATAATATCTCAAATTTTCCAAAAAAATAATCTTAACAATCAATGTCTACATTGAAAGTATATTTAGCATTAAAAAAATATTAAAATAAAATAAAATATTAAATATTAAATATTGAATTTTGTAAAAAGAAAAAATGACATTCATTTTGCTCTTGAAAATCTCAACTTAAAGGGAGTGACATTTCTTGTAGTATAGTGGGATCGCTATCAGTTTTATTTACTCCCGTTGAAAAGAATAATGTTGTAACATGTAGGATTTATATTTACCTATAGAGATATATCACTTTTTATTCATCTATTTAATTGTGAATCTTTCTTGTTTAGGTATTTATATGAGATTGTAGTTTCTTGCAATGCTTTGTATAGTACTGTGTTTTTTTTTTTTTTCTTCTGTAGCACTTTTGTTGTGTATTTTCTCTACATATATGTATAAAAATGTTTATTATTGTAACCTTTTTTTTTTCTTTTTTTTTTTGATAATTTCTATGAATATATGAATTATACCTATTTACACAAATACATCTATTATTCTCGCTCGTTAATATAGACTGATTCTATCTTTGTTTTTTTTTTTCGTTTAAAGAAAGAATCTCAAAGAATTGATCTTTATTTGTTTAACTGGTTTGCAATTAGATAAAAATTTCTTACTCGTTGAAAAAAAAAATTAATTGTTTGAAACTTGTAGATTGAGACATTTAAAAGAATTTGAATGATTGAACTAAGTTGATATGTTTGGATGTTTTTCTAGATTGGATTGTATTGTCTATTCATTAGAGTGATGTTGATTTTTGCGCATAAGTTTAAAAATTTAGATGAAATTGTGCTTGAAACTAAACTGAGGCATTAGAAAGGATTTTATGATAGAAAATGGTTGAATTGTTTGGATATTTATTGGTAATCTTGCATTGAACTCTATTGCTAATGGTTTAAAAGAATCTTGATTTATATATATATATATATATAATGGCAGAACCAAAATTTTATGAGAGGGAGACACGTTTTTTAAATTTTCAAAATAATACAATTTTTATTTTTATTTTTTTATTGTAAGGTACTTTTATTATTTGAGTGGTCATATTTTGAGAATGTTGTGAAATTATAAACTACTAAAAGAACTACATATTGCAGTGTTTTTTGTTCTTTTTTTTTAATGCAAATACCTCAATTTTCCCCGTGACCAATAACTCGGAGCACAGTATAAAAATTTTAAGATCAAGATTCAGCCTTGACAACACAACTAAACAAAGAAAATAAATTCAGAACATAAGAATGGAGACCTCTTTCACCCTTGCTGGTTTTAATCCATCAGAGCCGAGACTAAGATAGAACATAGGTGCATGTACTTTTGCCCTACTAGAAGAGTCCAATCAAACCGTATTACCAGTGGAATTTTCAAGAAGAATTAAATATTTTGGAATTTTCAGAACAACTTAAATGACAGTGGATTTCCAAGATAACATAAATGAGAGTGAATTTCCAAGATGACATAATTGAGAGTGGAGTTCCAAGAAGGTTGAATGCATTGAATCTATTATGGTTCCTATATTGATTTATTAATTTCTTTATTTATTTCCTAGAATGAATGTATTGGTTTTCAACTTTTGCATTTATTTTCCATTGTCTATAAAAGGAAAAACTCAGATGTATTTTGGGGACATCTTTCTTTGAATATTATCTTGAACATTAGTTCTTATTCTAAACTATAAGTGTTTGAGAGTGATTCATTGCGTTTTGATTTATTCATCAAATCAGGTCTTTGGTTAAGTTTATATGTTCACTGCTTCCAACCTTCCCAGAGGTTTAGAAAATTCATTCAAGTTGTCTTTTTTTTTCTTTTTCGACTTAGCAGATCCAAAACAAGCTACTTAGGTTCCTAAGAAAGAAAGATACTTCGATATTGGAATTCTCTATTCAGGTTTCTGAGTAAGTGTATCCAAAATCCCAAAAATATATATTTCTTTGAAGCGAATATCTGTTTCGATTGGGCAAAACGTGAACCACCCCCTTCAATTCTATGTCACATGCATTTCAAATATTTTACCAAGACATCATATAATGCAACAATAATAATTTTATTTTTGATCTATCCTCCATTTATATAATTCTTTTAGGTAATTTTCATTTACACCTAACATACAATTTTCTATCTTACAAAAAAATATAAACATGCATCCAACAATTTGGCTACAGCTGCACAAATTTACAAAACTAGCTCAACTATAACCTAAGAACTACACCAATAATATAACCAAGGAACCAAAAATAATTTTCAAGAAATTCATCAAAAAAATCAAAGAAACATCAGCATATTCCAAGTTTATTAAACTAATCACCAATAAATATATAGCCAATCAAATACCAAGAAATTTCAACATATTATCAATCATAATTGTACAAACAAAAATACTAGAGTAAAAATCATTTTTGGTCTCATTCAATATCAAAATTGTCAATTTTGGTCCAATTCAAAAAAAATTATCAATTTTAGTTCCACTCAAATGAATATTTATCAATTTTAGTCCCAACATGGTTGACTGGGACTGAACACGGCCGTATTGTCTTGAACACGGCCGTGTTGGATGACTCAGAAGGTGACTGGGCGTCCGAGGCAGCCAACACGGCCGTTTTGGTCTCAACACGGCCGTGTTGATTACCCTGCACTTCTGAACACGGCCGTGTTCCTGCCCGTGTTCTGAACACAGCCATGTTCCTGCCCATGTTCTTGCACATGTTCTCAATACAGCCATGTTCTAGGCCATGTTCCTGCCCATGTTCTCAACACAGCCATGTTGTAGACCATGTTCACGACCATGTTTTCAATATAATCATATTGTATGTCATATTTATTATTATTTTCACTTTTTGGTTAAAATTATTTGATATATATATTTATAATTTAACAAAAATATTTTTTACAATTATTTTATAATATAAAAAATAATCAATTTTTAATATTTTTAAAATATATAAAAATAATAACATATTAATATATATTTTTTAATAATACTCCCTCCGTCCCACTTACCATGTCCACATTGCCGTTTATATCCGTCCCACATCTCATGTCACTTTCCTTTTTCTAGAAAATAATTACACACTATATTTTTAATTTAATTTTAAGTTTAATTAAACTAATGTGTTATTTTAATTTTAATTTATAATTATTTATATTATATGATAATTATTTTTACTAATACATTCTTAATTATCTACTAATTATATTTATCCTAAATTCTCGTGTCTACAGTGACCCAAATATCCAACATGGGACGGAGGGAGTATTATTTTAAAATATTATTATTTTTATATATTTTAAAGATATTAAAAATTGATTATTTTTAATTATAAAATAATTGTAAAAAATATTTTTGTTAAATTATAAATATATATACCAAATAATTTTAACCAAAAAGTGAAAAAAATAATAAATATGACCTACAATATGATTATATTGAAAACATGGTCGTGAACATGACCTAGAACATGGTTGTGTTGAAAACATGAGCAGAAACATGGCTATGTTCAGAACACGGGCAGGAACACGGCCGTGTTCAGAAGTGCAGGGTAATCAACATGGCCGTCTTGAGACTAACACGGCCGTGTTGGCTGCCTGGGACGCCCAGTCACCTTCTGAGTCATCCAACACGGCCGTGTTCAAGACAACACGGCCGTGTTCAGTCCCAGTCAACCATTTTAGGACTAAAATTGATAAATTTTCATTTGTGTTGGACTAAAATTGATAATATTTTTTGAATGGGACTACAATTGATAATTTTGATATTGAATTGGACCAAAAATGATTTTTACTCAAAATAATATACCAAAAAAGTAAAGAGATGGATGGTTTGTCCTTTTACCATGGATCAAATCATACCAAACAAGAACCAAATTCTTTCAATTTTGGAATCGATTTCCAGTCTCTGATACCACTATTGTGAAATTATATCATGGATCCCTGTATATCGAATAAATCTCATAAAAAATACAACCAAATTAATGGAAATAATTTAATCAAACCCAAATCAATATTGGACCAAATCGAAATTAAAATAAATAGATATTAAAAAAAAAAGTATAAATTTGAATTGGAGAATAAAAAAAAAGGCACGAAATTGATGAATTGAAATCAAACAAATAATGCTTCCCTTTTTGTATTTCTCATTTTAGTCAAACTGATCACCGCCGCCGACGATTCACGAAGACGATGCCGACTTATTTACCAACGGCTCATGACGATGACGAACAGCTCCGGCGGCTGGTAGCTTGGGACAGTGGGACAGTGGAGAACTTAATCTCCGAGTGACTTTTTCTCAGGTGAAACTAAGGATAGACCTGTGGCAGCTCCAAACAACTCCAGCAGCGGATATATCGGCTCCGATAGACACTTCTTCTTCGGGATAGCAATGACAGGTCATCTTCTCAGGAAAATTGGAGACGAGCATCAGAAAATTGGAGACGAGCATCAAACTTCATTCATAAATAACCCAAAATGGATGATTTTCTTTGACAAATAGAGCTGCGAACATCGATCTTTCTTTATCGGTGAAGAAATTCGAATATAAGGATCAGTCTATGGTGCAAAATTGCCCAAAGTAATTATGTCACAAGGTGGAGTTCGACTAAACACTCTTAGCCTCGAAATCTACCGGAATCGGCACAAAAAAAATTTATTTCTAAACCTCACCGTAAAACCCACCGAACTCTCTCTTTGGAATTCCTCACTAAAAGGTATGGTTGCACTCCATCTCGCCCTCTTTGTCTCACGGTTTCACACTAAAAGTCACATTAAACCCAAAATACTTATCTATATGAACGCAAAAAAAAAAAAAAAACCACCAAACAAACCAATAGAACAACTAACTCAATGGGTCAATGGTTACGATTGGGTATTATAAGGGTTTGGGCTTAAGGTTTGGGTTTAAAGATTAGGCTGAATCCGGTGGACCGAGTTAAAGAGTGGGTCAAGTATTGTATAATCGAGGGACCCATTTGATTAGATCTCAAACGATCAAAATTCCCAACATTGGTATTTACAGATTGACAGTGGATTTTAACAAAAACGATGCCGTCATCATTGCAAGGCGGGTGAGGGGACAAAAGAAGCATTAGCGTGTAAATAAAATAACCAACCAAGATGAACATAAATAACCTTACTTTGCTTCATCCAACATCACTGATTTGAATTCCATAAGAGCTTTTCGATTGGCTTCATAATTATTGTAATTTAGAATCCCAAAATTTAAAACCTCAAACATACTCCAAAAAATTAAATTGTTCACCAACTGCAAAGAAAACAACGATGAAACCTTTTCCGCATTTGATTGTTTCATGGTTAAGCGAAGGTTCTTAGACGGAAAAATACATATTTGATTAATGAGAAAATTGGGATCAAAATGACAGTCCCATGAATGATATATTTCATCACACTAATGATATATGCATCGGAATAAAATACTAACTCTTAAAGCTTGTTTTGTTCAAATGTTGTTACTTATTGTTTGAACATAAAAAAAACCTACAAAATGATCTACGTAGAAACATAACACAACAAACAACAAACCAACGTTTATTTACCCAATTTGGTCCTCAACTGGTACACTTGGAGGTACGATCTCCATTGGTTGTATTATAAATAGGAACGTTGATGCAGGTAACCCACCACAGGTAACCCACCACATTCTCCCCCTTCAAAACACCTTGATTTTTTTTTTTTTAGGCTAACCAAACAAGCACAATGGTATCCAACGATGCAACAGACTATTGGAAACCTTTTTAAAATGTCTCAATTGACTCAATAAATCCAAAAATTATGATATGGTTTCCACCCAAGAATATGCACAAAATCTTCTCAAATGTCTGCCTTTCAATACGCAAGCAAATCTCTCCAAATAAATGAGCAAACCCTCTCAACAAGAAACTAATATTCAATTTATTATGAAAGCTCTCACCTCCAAATTTCCAAGGAGTTCTGTATCTATACGCACACAAACCCACTTTCCTCCAATAAAAAATCAACAACACAAAGCTCTATACAACAATAAAATTTGGACACAACCTATACTACTTTCCAGACCTTTGAAAAACGTGTTTCACATGTCTCAAATTTATTTAATACAATTTCATAGGCTAGGATGAAACTTATCCAAAATGAAAGTTAAGTGTGCAACCTTTTTCGGTACATCATTTTACTTTCCTCTTTTATAGGTTATGCCAAAATATGTAAAAGATGTAACAAATACAAAGTATTAAGTTGCAGCTCTGTAATTGCCGTTTAGCTCCAAAGTTCAGTGGCGAGAAATGCTGGTAAAACAACAATTGACATAACAATCTTATCCCAAACCACCAACATCTTAACTTGTAGAATAGTGCGTTAGTAGACCCATAACTATTATGTATTAATTAGCGAAAAGGATGGTGCAACCCGGTAGAGAAAAATATGAAGAGAGATTCTTAAATCTTTGTGTGAATGGTGGCTAGGGCAACAGTAGGAAGAAGTAGTTTATATATATATATACCTATATATAATGTATATATATTATAGGCTTCAACAAGCCTTATACTCAAAAGAGAAAGCCCATTAAAGAGGCTCAAGAAGACCCAATAGATTAACATGTTAACACCCCTCCTTAATCTGATGGATAGTGCCGCCACCAACCTAAAATAAGTCAAAAAGTCCAATGTTAGTAGATAACGAAAGCAATTATTTACTATCAAGCACCTTAATATACAGGTCTGCATGCTGCAAAAAAGAAGAAACAAACTGAGTTTTAATAACATGTTTAGTTAATAAGTCACGAACGAGGTGACAGTCAATTTCAATATGCTTAGTCCTCTCATGAAAGACAAGATTAGCAGCAATTTGGAGATCAGCTTTGTTATCACAATATAATGCAACATGAGTTAAAAAATCAATTTGCAAATCATGAAACAAGCTAAGAACCCATATAATTTCACAGCATGTCTGTGCCATTGCACGGTACTCTGCCTTAGTAGAGGAGCGAGAGACCATCGATTGTTTTTTGCTCTTGAAAGATATCAGACTATCACCAAGAAACAAACAATACCCAGTTACAAACTTTCTAGAAATTGGACAAACAACCCAATCGGAATCACAATAAGCACTTAAACTAAGTGAAGATTTATTTGAAAAGAAAATATCTTTACTCGGGGTAGCTTTCAAAAATTTCAGCACCTTCAAAGCAACAATCACATGAGATCTCTTTGGGGAATGCATAAACTGACTTAACACTTGTATGAAAAATGAGATATCAGGCCTAGTAAGAGTTAAATATATTAATTTATCAACCAATCTTTGATATTAAGTAGCATTTTCAAGGTGAGGATCACCATAATAAATAGAATCAATTAATTTGGTTCTTTGTTCCATGGGAATAAGTGAAGACTTACAAGCAAACAATCCAAACTCTGCTATGAGCTCTAAGGTGTATTTTCGCTGATTTAAGCAAAACCCATTCATGGTAGACACAACTTCAATCCCCAAAAAATATTGTAAAATACCAAGATCCTTAATATGAAATTTATCATCCAAGTATTTCTTAAAAGAGGTTATTAAAGACAAAGAATTTCCCGTAACTAAAATATCATCCACATAAACCAACACAAACACAGTGATAGGACTCGAGACAAATACAAAAAGAGAGTAATCATTCAGAGATTGCACAAACCCAAACTCAACCAAGGAAGCCCACAATTTTTCATTCCATTGATGCGGTGCTTGCTTAAGACCAGATAAAGAACGTTTCAACTGAAGAACCTTACCATGAAACCGAGTTTCATATCCTTCGGGAGGTGTCATGTAAACACATTCTTCGAAATCCCCATGCAAGAAAGCATTATTTACATCAAGTTGAAAAATTGACCAACCTCGAATAACAACTATAGCAATGATAGACCTAACAGTAACCATCTTTACCACAGGAGAGAAGGTTTCATGAAAATCAAGGCCTTCACGTTGACTATAACCTTTGGCGACAATCCGAGCTTTCTAGCATTCGAATGTCCCATCAGATTTGTACTTGATCTTAAAGACCCATTTACACCATATTGTCTTCCTATCAGAGGGGAGAGAGTTGAGGACCCAATTATGATTTTCCTCAAAGGCTTGCATTTCAAGATCCATTGCAGCATTCCAGGCTGTATCTTGTAATGCTTCCTTGATAGAGGTAGGTTTAGATATACGATCAAGTCAGTAAGTTAGACAAGCGTGAGAGATAGAGTAACTCGAGGTAGTACATCCAGAAGTGAGATCATAATCTCTTAGATATGCTGGTCGGCGAACTTCACGCTGGGAACGAACGAATAGGGCCTTCACAATTGACACTAAATGTCTCTGAAGTGCCCAAGGAATCAATAGGAGCTGATAAATCAGCTTATGGACCAGCTTGGGATGCTTCAGCAAGTTTTGAGTTGCCATCACTGACGGCTTACATTTCAGTTGCTTCCAAGTGACTACCTTGACTATCCATGCTTCTAGCTTTCTCATCAGAGACTAACTGATGGTTATAAAAAACAGAAAATGTTCTAACAAATTCTGTTGCATTTCAAAACATTAAGCCTTGTCAGAAGTATCTAATTTGAACAAAAAAATATTTTCATAAAATTAAACATCACGAGAATAAAAGAGGGTATTGACTTCAAGGTCAAAGAATTTGTAAGCTTTCTTATAATCAACATAACCCAAGAAAACACACTTAATAGCCCTAGGAGCAAATTTATTATGTTGATTAGTTAAGGTAGCAAAGCAAAGACAACCAAGCGAGTGAAAAACACTGTAATTAGGAGGCCAGCTAAACATCATTTCAAATGGTGTTTTCCCACTAAGAACAGAGCTAGGAGTCCGATTTATTGGAAAAATAGCAGTAGTTTGGACTAAAATTCAAAGGGACAACTACTTTGGAACAACAACGACCGAGAGACATTTAATAGATGTCTATGTTTTCTTTCAGCAATCCCATTTTGTTGGGGTGTCTCAACATAGGAGGTTTGGTGAACAATCCCAAGTTCACCAAATAGAGACCTAATTGAGTTATTAATGAAGTCAGTTCCATTGTCACCGCGGAAAATTTTGATAGAAAAGTTGAATTGAATCTTAATCATGCTAAAAAACAATTTTAGAGTAGAAAAGACCTGACTTTTAGACTTCAGAAGGTACACCCACGTAGCACGAGAAAAATCATCAACTATGGTGAGAAATAATTTACTACCATCATGACTTGAGACACTATATGGCCCCCACACATCAGCATGAATCATATCAAATAATGCAAATGACTTATGAGAACTAAGAGGAAAGGTTTTCTACTTTGTTTAGCAAGATGACAAACATCACACTGCGTATATAAAGCATCATCACTTAGATTCAAGGCAGGTTTAAGGAGCTTAAACACGGATTCAGAAAGATGTCATAGTCTAGCATGCCACAGGTGTATGAAACCAAAGAAGCATAATTCACATGCAAGGAAGTATAATTGGGACCAGTAATAAATGGAAAGCACTAGAGCCTATCTCTAAGGTCATCATTTCCCATAGTGGTTCCATTTGTGAGTCCTGAATATGACATGCTCAAATTACCAGCTTGAGTCAATTTGGAAGCAGACAGAAGATTAAATTTAAACTCTGGCACATAAAGAACGTCATGCAACACAATTCTAGGTGTAAGTCTACACTTCCCCATCAATCTTACAATAACTAAGTTTCCATTAGGCAACTTAACGTAAAGACTACCCTCAGGAACTGAAACAACATGAAATAACCAATCAAAGCTGGAGGCCATGTGATAAGTAGCTCTAGAATCAACAATCCAACCAGATGTAGAAGAAACATTGCAACAAATGTTAAATTACACACCTGCCATGTTAACCTTGTGGTTGTTATCATCCTTAGGGGTATTGACCAGTTTTAGTAACTGCTCTATCACTTTAGGACTCGAGACAAGAGTCAAGACTTTTATCAGATGATTCAACCATATTTGACCCTCTAGCACCTTCTACATTATTGACAAATTTTTTTATGAAGAAGTTGTGTTTTTCAGGGTAGCCTACAAGCTTATAACAACATTCCACTAAATGACCAGAGGCACCACAATGAGCGCATTTCAAATTAGGATTTTTTGCCCTATACTTAACAAAGGATTTTTTGGACACAAAAGTAGATAAGACATTTTCAGAGATGTTCCTAACAATAATATCTCTAGTAGATTCTTCTTTAGAGACCAAATTAAACGCCTCCATGACATCAGGTAGAGAGACAGAAGTAAGAATATTAAAGCGCACAATGGAATACTTCTCATTTAGCCTCATTAAGAATTGTATCAGGAGAAGATTACTTTCATCACGTAATGAATCCTGCGAGGCGACATATACACACCTTGTACTAGACCTATTAGAAGCATATTGTTCCCACAGTTCTTTTAATGTAGTGAAGTATTCAGAAATAGTGTCATTGCCCTGAGTGATATTGGACAATTCATGAACTATGCTATAAAGTCTAGTTCCATCATCATACCAAACATCAGAGGCCTTCATATAGTAGACAAGACCATAAAAAAATTTCTTATCCACACAATTAAGAATCCGGGACATAACTACAGAATTACTTATATGCCACTTATCAGCTAAATCAGTATCATCAGGCAAGGGAACAAGACTTTCAACAAACTTTAATTTGTTTTTACCAGCCAATGAGAAACTTATGGCTCTAGACCAGATTCCATAGTTCTCGCAACAAGTTAAAACACATGACACTAAGGCAGTGTTAGATGAATCTGGATGATGCAAGTATAACGGGTCATCATAATCCTTTAAAGAGGAAACAAAGAGCGACACATCAACATTAGACACATGCGGGGAAGATGGACACTCCATCATATTGGAAGAAAGGAGAATAGCGACAAGAGCTAAGGAAAAAACTAACACATTCGACCAGAAAACCAGCAAACCTCGTTGAAGAAGTTGAATCAACAAACTTGGAACAAAGAAAATGAAAAAGTCATCCACTCTGATACCATGTTGATTTTTAAAGAAATAATGACAAAAAATACATAATAACACGAACAAGAACCACAATAATTTGGGACTACTTTTATACACGCACAAAATAGCAACAAGTTCAACAAACACACCACAAACCAACAAGGCCTATATCAAATCCAAAAAATAGACTATGCCAAAATATGTAAAAGATGTAATAAATACAGAGTACTAAGTTGCAGCTCTGTAATCGCATTTAGCTTCAAAGTTCAGTGGCAAGAAATGCTGGTAAAACAGCGATTGACATAGCAATTTTATCCCCAACCACCACCATCTTAACTTGTACAATAGTGCGTAGTAGACCCAGATTATGCATTACATAGCGAGAAGGATGGTGCAACCTAATAGAGAAATATATGAAGAGAGATTCTTAAATTTCTGTGTGAATAGCAGCTAGGGCAACAGTGGAAAAAAGTAGTTTATATATATACATATATATAATGTATATATATTATAGGCTTCAACAAGCCTTATAGCCAAAAGAAAGAGTCCATTAAAGAGACTCAAAAAGACCCAGCAGATTAACACGTTGACATTAGATTAATTTGAATTGATATAATAAAAATTCGAACAAATTTGAAATATAATATAGATCTATAAATTTTATTATTATATATATATAATGGTTTAATAAGAGTATAATATTTTAATAAAAATATAAAACTCATAATTACATATTAATATATCTATTATTTTACATATTTAATATTTTAATAAAAATGTAAAAATGAAATAAATATATCAAAAGTTTGGATTTTTAAATATATTATGTAATTTCAGATATTTTTATTGGGTCATATTTTATAATTGTCATTTTTGAATTTTTAGATTTTTTATTTCGTTTTGATTCGAATTTTATAATCTAAATTTTGAATTTTGGACATTTCAAATCCGCTCGGATTCATTTTTCAAATAAAAAAAATCAAATTTTGAATTGAGTAACTATAGTTGAAGAAGGACTTAGAGAAGGCATTCCAATCTAATGAACACAACCATTCAACCAGTCCTTTATGATCTTCATCTTTGAACCTAATGGCACATTAGCAATGGCATCATCCTGAGCTTTAGGTCTTCCATTGGAAATGCATAAACAAGAATGGTATGTAAGCCATATCCAAAACCAAGTGTTACTAATAAAATATAAATAGAGGAGCATACCTCACTATCTAAGAAAGTATTTTACCGCTCTTCTCTTGTATAAAACAATTACCTTCAGAGAGCAATCTGCAAAGTAAAAAAGGATGATCATGCAATGGTTATTATATAAAGCAACCCTCTATCCAAGTCGTATGACTCAGGCATTGGAACAAGCCGTAGGCTGTCCTTAAAAGAGGAAGGTCATATGGTTGTTTTATGAGAATAATCTATCTAGAGGACAGAGAAATGTATATTGATTTCATTGTTTCTTCTTATCATATTTTGTTAAACCATCAACATTGACAAATGACACTAATAAATCCAATCCATTCATAAATCCTTATATCACATACTAATAAAGCATAAATATGATCCGCAGTTGCAATACAATATATATAGCATTTGATTGGATTGAACAGAATTAGTGATTCCACACAAAACAAAGAGAAATATTACGTACCAAATTTGATTTAATCTTGCATTTAAGAATGTGTGTATTAGTTGGGATTCAGGTACAGTGGATGCACCAAAATTCAACTCACAAGAACTCAATGATTAATGATTAGATTGAACCCAAGGTTATTATTATTACAGCAGACTCGGAAAATTATTACACTGATGAAGTAAATAGCCACACACACAACATGAATGCAAATGCAAGATTGATAATCAATAATATATATATAAAGAGGTAAATTTTGCAATCACCAAGAAGTTATATTTCATTAAATCTGAAGCACCCAAACTATCCATGTAATAATAATGTGAGTAAGAAAAGTGCGTACCAGTAGGTATAGCTAGAGGAGATGGCCTCAGATTCCCTATCTTCAAAACCCCTTTATTTATACACTGACTATTCTTGATTTGTTTGAATGCCAAGATTTGCATAAATGATTACAAGACTATTAGGAGATAGGGAATAGCTACCCAAACTTATAAGGCCCCATCTCCAATAAAAGTATTTGTCAGCCATATTACATTACATTTTATTTTTGTTTGTTATTACTATTATTTTTTTGTCTTTTTATTCACCAAATTTTTCCATGAATGAATTCTAAGTTTCATGCATTCACTTTATATAAAAAAAAAACCATAAGATAAGATTTTTGAAATAATATCTTTTTTTCCCCAAGAAAATGTAAGCAAAGAGCAGAGACCTGTGCAACATGAACATTTCCAAATTGGTAGTCCCATCACTAACCTTTTTTCTGATTCTATATTAGAACATCAAGCTACTAATGTTGTAATTCAGAACTTACTATTATGCACATCCAAACACATTACTATGCATGACCATACAAACAAATGCATCACAATTTTTACGCTATGCTCGTCTCAATAGTTCATTGATGGCAAGACATATAAACAATCTCAACAAGAATATTACAAAAAAAATTAAGACATGAGTGAACCAAAGAAAACAATAATCGTAAATTTATTTTATTTTATATTTTCATGGGGTTGTGTATGGCATTTCCTAGTTCCAAGGATTGAGTGAGCAATCACTATCTAATCTAATCCCACACTATGCACGTTTTGCCTAATCTCTCCCTACCCAATATAATGAATTTGAAAACCATGAGAGCGAATGCAACAATGAGTAACCAATTAATCGATACATTTGGCAAAAAATGAACTAAATAGGTCAAAGATTTCTCCATTGAATACAATGGAATAAACCAAAGATGGAGAGAAGGGTGGATATATGATTTTAATGCAATAAATATTCAACAACTTTATTCCTCCATAAAAAATCCAAGACAAGACAAGACTTTAGGATCGAAGGTGAGCGTGGGAAAGGAAAATTACTATGAGAGAATGAGAAATAATAGGATGGGAGGAGGAATCAATCAAGGTTTCAGTTAGGTAATGGACAATGTCATCCTATCCAACCCAATCCAAACCCACACACGGGCATTATAACTATAGTATTATCATACTTATATTTGTGTAGTGTTAATTTTTCATCTCTTGAATCACTTCAGATCCAATCCATCAGCTCATCTCTTCCCGCAATTGATCAACAACACTTCACTATAGTGAAATACAATAACTATTTGTAATAGCCACCTCATCCAAAAGATATATTATAATCACATTTCATCATACGTTATCATCCTTATTGCTGGACCACAGAAGCCCTAACCTTATATCATTTACACCAACTTCATTAGTCTGTCTTCCACATAATTTAAGCACCTTTCTCACCATATACAACTTAGAAAATATTGACTTGAAGAATAAACAAGAACTCAAAAAGCTTGTTTGATATTCCTTTAGAGGGAGAATTGCTGAAAAAAAAGTCTTACATCACTCCACCGGTTTCCACTCGGACAATTTGAGAAATAGCATATAGATGATAGCATGATGGCATGTACTATTAGTTTTAACCAGCATATAATATCAATAATAAAATTCATTTAACCAAAAAACCTACAGTTTACAAATTATAAAAGTTTGCCTTTAAAAAAAATTCAATTTATCCAAAAGCCATTACCATAATGCAAGCTAGGTTAATTTAATAAAGAAGATGACAAACATCAATTCATCAAACTAAACAACTTCTTTTGCATCAACACTTATTTCGAGGAATCATGCTTAACATTCTCATATCAAAATTCTTTAATTACTGAACATGGTTTTTACAATTTAACCCAAACAAAATAACATAAGCATTTACATATGGCATTAAAAAATTAAATAAAACCTGTTCAGGTGTTTCACTTCAAGAACCCATCAAATTAAAATTTATAATCAATTATACAGTCACCAGTGATTTTTAAAGAAAAATATCTGACCAGCTCACTTTAGAATTTCAAATTTGGTTATGATTTCCAAAGCCTAAATGCAAAACAACAAGTAGCACAAACATACAAGCACATACAAACATACATTATAATTAATTTGGTGCAGATTGAGCTATGATAATTGAAGGGCCGTGATTTTTCTATTACTTTACAAACTATCAAAACATTGCAAAAAACACTTTTACCCATGTTATTTATGAAATCATGAATGATAAAATATTAGAAGAACAACGGTTTAGAAAACACTATCATATATTACCTAATATTCGATCTTCGAACAATTATAAGTGAACCTCTTCCACCTCGTCGTTGAATAAATTAATCCTACAAATAGAAGTCGACAAAATGAGTATTATTCGACCATAAGACACTCAATTTCAAAAAAAACCTACTAGTACAAATCTATACTCATTATTTGTCAAAGAAAATTATAAATCCAAACTCACAATTTACCCATTAAATATATGAAATAATTTCTACAAGAATAGAGTATACAAAAACCTAGAAGACTAAAGAAACTAAAAATCGATTTTCATAGTTACACAATAGAATACCTAGAGGTTTCAACTTACCCTTTGATTTCATGAGAAAAGCATCGGGGAGGAAGAATCACGACACCAATAACTTGGAGAACCATGAGCTTCGACCGGCAACGGTAGGGCAAAGGACGGAGTGGAGATTGGGAGGCGATTTCGGATTCAGAAAAAATGGAAATGGAAACGATGTGAATTTCGTCAAGTATTGAAACACATGGTACTATATATTTCTCCAAAGTGTTAAACGTTTTTTAACTTTTATTTGTCCATCATTTGGAAAGTGTTAAACGCTTTTCAAAATTTATTATTTTTTAATCATTTTTTATTATTTATTGATTAATTTTATATAGATTTTATTATTATTATTTATAATTATAATATTATTTTTTTGTTACGATTTGACATATGTGATACATATATGTGGAATCACATCTCATCATATTTATAGTTGTTATGGATAACTATCGACAAAAAAAAAAAGGTTGACCAACACAAATCTTTTTTGTTCCGACAAAATGCATAACAAAATCACTTTTTGTAACGGAATTATTGTAATAGATTCAATTTCGCTAAAAACAAACATTTTTTTTGTAGTGTGGCCGAACTCAGTAAACAAACTTAGTTTTATGTTTGTTTTACTTATTATGCATGTACATATAATATACATAACATAAGTCATCTGGATATCACACAAATAATAAGCTTATAAACAAATTTATTTATGTATTACTCATATTTTCGTTGCATATTGTTGTTGCTTGGATGTGAGGACCGTTGTTGTTCCACGTAATATCAATATTGAAAAAGAACATAACTCTTTTTTACTAAACATACTTATGATATTTCAACGATATCTCTTAATGTCATAATTTTAATTTTCAACTATATTAGGGTCAATGTACTTTGTTACGAAAGATAATTTTAAACAACATTTCTTAAAACACACAACTAATAAAGCATATGATTTATCAATTTTCTATAATAACCTGAGTATTGAACAATCAAAGAGTTATTTCAATTCAAATACTACAAAAATGAACAAAATATTATTTTAACAATTAAATATAGACAATTCAAACAAATATCATGATTATTAATCAACAATCACAAGGTAAATCACTTCAATAATCAATTTGAAGTGCAATCAACATATGTTACAACTGAAGAAATAAAAATACAAAGTTCATCACAAGAATCTTTTCAAATTTTCAAAAATAAGACTTCGAAGAAATGATTCATAAAATTTGCAACAAAAGCGACTAATAGGAAAGAACAAATCACAATATTATATACTTTAACCAATTATTTCTTATACAAAACTATACTGAACTTAACAAGGTTAAGGTTTACAATATTTTACATCCAAATTGAGTTATACTACGCTCAATATGTTTAAAATCCTTTTTCATAAAAATAGAAAAGTTCTGGTATCACTGTAGACTTGTTATCCTGCAAAACTCAGCAAATACATCAAAAGAAAACAAGAAAATAAAGAACAATAGAAAAATGAAATAGTTGAGGTAAAGGAATGAAACATTCTTAGTACATCGTATAATCAAGACTTGTAAATGTGGTGAAGGAAATCAAGTATGCCAGACCAAACCAAAATATGACTAAACGTCTAAAACCAATACACTCAAGGCTAAATAACCAACTTAAACCCTAATTACAAATACAAAGTTTGTCTAAAGTTTTAATCGAAGAAACCTCACGAATCACTCTAAGGTTCCGAACACTACTAGAAAAAAGGTTGATAATTGCGAAATTTGTCGCAAATTTTAATCCGTGACAATTGAAAGTCACGGAAAGTAATTTCATGACAAATTTATGTCACTACTTTTTGCTTTGACTATTCCGTAAGTAATATTTGCAGAAAAAGCTACAAATAACTTTCCGTGACTATTTAAAGTAACGGTTTATGTAACAAAAATGTCTAAGATATTTCTATTTCGTGTCTTTTGACTATTTCGTCACAAAAATTGTGACAAAATTTTTTCTTGACTATTTTAAGTTGCGGCAAAAATAACCAAAATATAAATTCATGATGATATATTAAATAAATATGTATATATTTTTAAAAGATAAATTTATAATCAATAATATTTATATAGTTAAAATATAATAACAAACAAAAAGTAATACTTTAGAGTAGATAGTTAAGTTGACATGACAGGTCGTGTGAGTCTTATTGTTATAAAGTCACAGACATGTCATGGTATTATTCTATAACTTATTGTCACAGAAATGGCACCACTTAAAAACAGTCACCAGCAAAATTCCATGGAAATGGTTCCGTATATTTTTCTGTGACTTTTTAGTAAAAGATCATCAATTTGTATTAAAACCGTGACTTTTTTTACCGCAACTATAGCCTAATTTTCTGGTAGTGGAAATAATTAAAACTTCACAGGGTTGCAGAACTTTTGGCCCAAAACATGACTATGATAAAAAAAACTCCCATAGAAAATAAACGAGAGAAAGAGGAATCGAATGAATGAGCTCAAACAAAGTGGCCATAAGAATATAACACAAAATCGACTGGCCATATCAAAATCCTTCACTATTTTGTAAAGTATGTTTTGAGTTAATAAGGTGAGAAAAAAAATTGATAAATTGAGTGTGTATATAAGTAGTTGTGACATAAGTGTAATGTTGAAGGGTATAAATAAAAGAGTATGTAAAAATTCTTTGCTATAAGTATGTAAAAATTCTTTACAATAAATAAAAAGTAGATTATTTTTTTTTGGATAAAGAAAGAAAACAGGAAAAAAGGAAAATAGCTATAAATTTAATGAACGAAGGCAGGGAGTATGTTTTTAAACTTAACTTTCTTATCAAGAATTGAAAATGGTGTTTTGGCCTTCCATTAAAGCTGTGCAGAAAGATATCCTTCATTACTTCAAGGCAATAGAAAGTACAACAGTATGATCGCACAATATACATATATTTGTATGTACCTTAGCAATCAAACATATACAGATCGACCTATGCACAAGTTTGGCTGCAGCAGGTAACAAATTAATAAAATTCACACAATTGATTTTTCAATACAGTATCCATACTTATTCTTGAATTCGTCTTCTCGACATACACCTACCTCTTGTGATGTTCTGCACTATGGCTTCTCCAACTCCCTCTCCAAACCCCTCGATTAGTCCCCCGATGAATTCTATGACCACCTGAGACGCCAAACGAGCTGCAGTCCCCAAAGGGCTCGGCTTCTCCGGTGTGGGGATTCCATTGGCTTGGAGGCCATTGATTTGGGATTTAGCGCATGTGGCGTGGAGATGGTAGTCGCACACAGTGCATCGATACATTCTTCCTGATCTCCTCTTGTTGCACTCCCCACAGGCGGTGGCTGTGGCCGTGGCAGCACTGCCTCCATTAATGGCCACCGGCGATGTACTAATAGCCGGCAACAACTTCAAGGGATGGGGATGGACTGCGAATAGGATCTCCGTGGAGAGCATGGCGCAGCAAGGATGCATCTGAAAGCTACACGCCTTGCATCGATAGGTAAATCCCTTGATCGACTTGGCGCACACATTGCACTTAGGCCATGCCATTCCAGCTTTGGCTGGAAAACGGCGAAGATTGAATAGTATGAAAATAAAAATATAAACACGACGTGAACTCTTGGATTGAAAGTCCAATTGTTAGTTATATGTAGACCGTTTAGGATATCAATCATATTACGCCTAAAAGTGAGCTATTAAATTTACTTTGCTTAAACTATATTTAATAAGTGTTTTCTGCATGTAGAAACCCCTTAAATTATCAATTTGATGAGGCCAATTGATACTAAAAAAATATATATGATAATTAATTATTATAGATACGATAAATTGTACTCTATTCGTCTCAACTAGAAGTATTTTTTCTTAAAAATATTTTTAACTTTTATAAAATTATTCCTTTTTTTGTACTTGTTAAGTACAAAATTGTCAAGAATCATTTTGCACACTTCTATTCACCAAAAATTATTATCATTTTTAATTTATTACAAAAATAAAAAACAAAAACCCACTTTCAGCCGGGGATGAAGGGAGTAATTAGTTATGATAAGCATATACTTATCACGGAAAGAAAGGAAACTAATCTCTTCTTCAAAGACGTTTGCATCCAAAGCTTGAAGAACACAATCCTTTCAATTACTTCCAGGAGATCTTAGATTAGACTTAATTCTTGTTAAGTTGTAACATAAAGGACAGACGCCTACCTTGTTTGGGCTTGACATGAAAGACTAATTGGTGCTGGCCATGGAGGGGGTGGTTCTTGAGAAGCGGGCGGGGGGCGGCGCAGAACTCGTGCAGCTGAAACTCGCACTGCTGGCAAGCAAATCGATAGCCGGCGCCGTACTCCTTGCAGCCGGCGCACACGAAGAGCTCCGGCGAGGATATCTTAGTGAGGGGGTGCTGTGAGTGCGTGTAATGCGTGATTTCTTCTACAGGGGAAGTTGGGAACTGATGAGAGATCTTTGATGGAGCTTCCATGGACGAAGAAGAAGACCATCTTTTCATGGGGAAAGATGTTTTTCTTATCATCATTATTTTTCTGGGGTCTAGTCTAACTGTGTTTGTTTTAGTGCAATGAGGGAATGCATACACATTTATAATTATATATACACTATACTTGTATAAAATGATCATTCAGTGGATATACTTTAAAATTATTTTATTGCAGAATAAGTTTATTGTTAAGAATGGCAGCAAATAATGGAACTTGTCTTTGACACTTGGTCCAGCAACAGATATTTCGACAGATTTTTGGTTCAAACTGTTCAAGTCATTCTTTCAAGACGTGATTCCTATACTTGTTGGGACATTTTTAAGCGGATGATAACAAACTAAAAAAAATAAATTAATTGTGGTATATATTATACATAAAAAAATACATTTTATTATTATTATTTATTTATTTATTTTTGTTGCAGTGAAAGAGAGAGAATTGATTCAGCAGTATTTACATCAATATGTACTTACCGTGCTTGAAAAACCAACATATAATTCAAAATCAAACATCTTGTCAAAAGCTTGAATAATGTATCTTATTCCATATATAATTCAATTTTTGCTTTTCGTGTTCAAATTCCTAATACTTGTACGTACTACTAATAATATTTACATTCTTATTTTGCATTGTCTCCTGCCAAAAATGATTAATATATAGGCAATTCTACATCGTTCAGATTCTTTTTCTAAAGGTAAAAGAAAACAAGAACAAAAGATTAGTTTTGAATTAAAATGTTATTGGGGTTTTTAAAGTTTTAATTTTGTGGGCGTTTTGTAGAAAAGATTAATAATATGTATGTCTGCCAATCTCTTGCATATTGTTTTTAATGGAGGGGATGGGGTGGGGCCATCCCAACCCAACCCAACCCATATTGATTCGAGGATGTAATAAATTGGCATGCAAAGTCAAGCTTCCTCTTTTTGCTTTACGAACTTAAGAGGAGTGCAGCCAATGAGATGGAAGAGAGATTAATTGATTATATATATACATATATATTGATTGAATTAATCATCAAGTGTAATACATGTGTGTGTATATATATATATATATCATGGAGTAGAATAGAATCCAAATCTTCGACAAGCTATATAAAGAAGGCTTTCTTCTTTATTCCATATTCAAATCTAAGTGGAGGCCAAAGAAAAAAAACATGTTATGTTGCAGCTTTTTATGTAAAGTTGAATTCATGCATACAATGACTAATTAGCAAATCCATCTGCATGGCTCTTTCCTATTATTATTATTATTATTATTATTATTATTATATGTAAATATTTTTTTAGTCAAGTATGTAACTCTCTTATCATTATTATGTTGATCATGTAACTGAAATCTGTACTAAATAGTCTAATACCTTATTCGTATGTAATAGATGAAAATGTAATGTAACATGGACTAGCTGCATGATGATCATCAAATACGAATGTGAATTAAATTTTATATACTCCCGCGTTTGGGCTTTTTATGCCACTTTATCCGGAGGTTAAAAATTAATACTATTTTCATATAAAATTAAAATATGTAAAAGAATAGAGTATTATGAAAATTTCATTAAAGAATTAATAAAAAATAACATAATTAATAGAAAAAGTAGTGACATTATTAAAGTAGATGTAATAATATTGTAAATAGATAAAGTTTTTTATTATAAAAATTTAGCGTACAATTAAAAAAACTTACATAAATATCTCGAACATAGGACATTTATTAAAGAAATATATATATGTATATTTATTTTAAAGAAAAAAAATTCATATTAATATTTAACATTGAAAATCGTTACATATCTAGTCACTACAATTTTTAACGGTATCTATATGTATCACGTCAGAACATGTAATAATATTCTGGTAGCAAAAGATATTTTCAACAATTATGAATATAAGACTATTTTTAAAATAAATTTTAATTAAAGGGCCAAAATTATAAGGGATATCAAATATGATATTAGAAATGAATTTATCTCTTATTGTTGTTGTGATTAATGTTTCAATGCTTGTAGTTGTAGCCAAAAAAAAAAAAATGTTATTTATATGAATACACAGTCTCATACAATTTATATATATGATTTGGATCAAATGAAAGCAGACTATATTCTTTAGATGGATCTTTTAATTATCCTTTCTGGTTGATTTAATTTTTTTTTTTATTATGATTACTTCTTTGAAGAATTCAAAAATATTTGATATTTATTAAGATAGATTTAATCTTTTAATTTGACTTCCATTGCATCATTAAATGATTTTGGAGATTTGATCTTCGAGCAGGTGAATTAGGTCATTGGCTTGTGTTTGATAACCTTTTTGAAAAACTTGAATGATTTGATCTTCTTGGAGGTGGATCTCAAACTCCATGACATTTTTCAACATTGAGTCACTTTCACTTTTGTATGGAAAAATGTCATTTGGTTAATTTTTATAAAGAATCCAAAGAATATTTTGAAGATTTACATGAACTTAAAGAATCTTGCATTGACTCAAATGGGGCTACAGGTTTCATCATCATCTTGGATAATCGGTTATTTTGCAATCGATTATTTGATTAGTGAAAATGCGATGGACCGGTGCAGCAAATTAATTTAGAAGATTATTTATTTATTATATATGAGATTTTGTTAATATTTTGGCTATTTTGCCTGTCTCGAGACAAACCAAATTGTGCAACCCCAAATTAAATCCGGGTATATGGCCTAAGTCGCATTATTATATGAATAAAATATTATCCATTTGATAGATTTATTATAATTTCAAACAGAATGTTTGAAATTAGAATAAATTACGATCGTCACAATCGGAAAGTTTGTAATTATAATCAATTACGACCGCTTCAAACGGAAGGTTTGAATTTAGAATAAATTACATCGATAATTAAGGTCGTAATTATGATCGTAATTGATCCCCTGCCATTTTGGTCGAGTGGAGACGCCTATATAAAGGGTCTCCCCCTTCATTCTAAAGAACGAACAACTCTCTCCTCTTTCTCTCTTCTCTTCTAGCTTTTCAGCAACCTCTTCAATTCCTCTCTCGTTTTATTTGTCGGAGCTCCAACGATTAGAGGTGTCACTCTTATTGGAGACGAAAACCGATTTATCTTTGGATTAGAACGCCACTCACCGGAGGCACTACCGGGGTGTATCTAATTTTTGAAAAAAGGATCCATCCTCGACTCGGTTTCACGGTAGATGTTACTCTCGAAATACCCATTTAATCAAACAATCGAAAATTATATACTACTTTGCGAGAATGTCAACCCCTTCCGAAGCCGCTGCCGGAACCGCTGTCGGAGCCTCCGCTGGAACCGCCCCCGGAAAATTCTCTGGAGGAACTGCCAGAAAAGTCGCCGGAGAAACCTCTGAAGCCGCCGCTGGAGGAGTCGCCGGAGCAACCACTGGAACCGCCACCGGAAGAGTCGCCGGAGCCGCAATCAAGGTAGTTGCTCCTCCACTTGGGCCAGTTCCCTTTATGGGAAGCCCTATATTTTATGGATTTGCCCCGAGGGGGATGTAGGGGCTTTTCTGGGTTTGTGGCCGCACCCTCTGCTTTATTCATGGCCCAAACTGTTGGTCCTGGGCTTGGCCCACTAATGATGCCCCATGTACAAGTTCCACAACCATTCACTGAAGTAGACTTTAAGAGGTGGCAAGAGAAGATGCTCTTCTACCTGACTGCAATTGGATTTGCCATGTTCATGTTGTACGATGGCCCAATTACCCTAGAGCCCGGTGCGGACCAGCAAACGCATATGAATTATGCATCGTGGGCACATGAAGACTACATGAAAAGAAATATCATATTAGGTAGTCTCTCTAACTCTCTTTTTAATGTATATTGTAAAATAAATAGTGCGAAAGGGTTGTGGGATGCCCTTGAGAAAAAATATAAGTCCGAGAATGCTGGATCTAAAATGTTTATTGTGGCCCGATTTATGAACTATAAGATAGTAGGTGGCAAGTTTGTCGTCGAACAAGTGAAAGAAATTCAACACATTGTTCACTTCGTTATCGACGAGGAAATGTCATTACCAAAAAAGTTCATCACGAGTGTGATGATTGAGAAATTGCCCCCGAGTTGGAACAACTTTAAGCACGGGCTGAAGCATGAGCTAAAGCAAGTGGGGCTTGAAGATCTGATTGTCCGAATCCGAATAGAGAAAGACAATAGAAAGCAGCACAAGGCTAAAAGCGGAGATATTGCTAAAGCCAACTTGGTCAGAAATCCCTCCAAAAAGCATGCACGCCTAACTCAAAAGGACAAAGGCAAAGCCAAACAGTCCAAGTTTATAAGTAATTGTTTAAACTGTGGTAAAATAGGACACCAGGTTAAGGGCTGCAAGGCACCGAAAAAAAGAAGTCGAGTTTCCAACTGGTTGAAACAAGCCACCGGACTGATCGTGATCTCAATAATGACGACTTTGTCGTTGTTGTGTACGAAACAAATAATGTGAAAAGTCCGAGAGCTTAGTATATTGACACCGGAGCAACCTACCATGTTTACTTTAATAAAACAAACTTCTCGACCTACAAGGAGACCGAAGGGAGAAAGCTGCACATGGAAAATCATGCAACTTCTGAGGTCCAAAGCGTAGGGAACATGGTGCTCAAGATGACCTCTGACAAAGAACTAACCCTGAAAGATGTCCTGCATGTGCCAGACATTCGGAAAAATCTCGTCTCAGGATCGCTACTAGTTAGCCATAGTTTAAACTTGTCTTTGTAGCAGATAAATTTATATTATCGAAAAATGAGATGTTCCTAACTAGGGGTTATCTTACAAATGGGTTGTTCAAATTAAATGTAATGGCCGTGCGCCGAGCACCATCTACTGATAATAAAAATATTGCTTCTTCTTCGTACTTGATCGAGTGTTCTGATTTATGGCTCTGTAGATTAGGTTATGTAAACCTAAATGCTATAAAAAGATTAGTAAATATGAATTTACTAAATATAAAAGAGGTGAACGCTCAAAAAAATATGAAGTTTGTGTGAAGGCCAAAATGGTAAAATTACATTTCCCGTCTGTTAAAAGGAAGACTAAGTCATTAGAGTTAATTTACACCGATATATGTGATTTAAAAACTTTGC